ATCTATCCTTTCCATCTTTCCATTGTGTAAGAAGCATTAGAAAAATGGACACTTCAAGATAATTTAAAACTGCTGTTAGGCATGAATGTTGCTACTTTCAGGGGACAAGGGAGAATCAGAAACATGAAGTCTTTTTTTCCAGCAGGAAAATCAGAGAACACCTCTGTAAAACTTTGATGTACATTGCACAGCCTCTGCTTAAAGCTTTCAAGTCTGTAAATTTTCTCTAGAACCAATACAATTTGTATGTGAAAAAAAACCCCATGCTTTGAATTAGATAATTATTGAGTTTATGCTACTGTGGTGTCATTAACATATTTTTAATCCATACAGGTCTCCTCCTGTTGTTTTTACACACACGAGGTAGCACCTCATGATTGCTATTTCACTACTTGGCTGCTGTAGTTGTGTTTCCTGTTACATAACTCAATAGTCTGATTGAAAACCAACAAATGCCACCTGTCTGTACCAGACAGGATGCAGCCCACAGCCACAGCAGTTTCTGTCCCCACTTACCAATTGGGTCACCATTTTTTCTCAGCCAGAATACATTACTAGAGTTGCTCATGCTGTATTCAAGTCACTCTTAGTGTGAATTATGTGTGAGTATAAGCCTGCAAGCGAATTTATTGTAAGGTGTATTTTCAAAGCTGTGAAAAGAAGACTATAAACATTATATATAACCTGAGGTGTACTGTGTAATTTATACAATGTAAATAAATTCTGTTTGTCTTTCTTTTTTCATTTGCCTAATTTCATTATTTGATTTTTGTGGGTGTGTGTTGGTGCCCCCAGCAGGCTCTCAGAAAAATTAAATCTGTAATCCTGTGAATCACACCTTGCAGAAAGAATCGACTTTTTTACTGTATTGTGATGAATAGAATAGCTGCATTGAATGTATACGAAGCTGCACAATGTATTACTATATAAATGTGTTGTCATGTGCAAATGTGTGTCACATATGATCTTTACCTAGAGCAGAACATATTGCATTGTACAAGTAAATATAAAGCTCTGAATGTGTTCATTATAGTACTTCTGTGATGCTAAACACAATCCTGCCTTTAGAGTAGTGAAGAACACGTATATAAAAAGGACAGTCTCAGACTTAATGAATGTCCTTGGCTCTCATTGAATGTATTTATGGAATTATTACTTGCACTGGAATAATTTACAAATTTTATCTGAATTGCACTCATAGTAGTGCGCCTCCTTGACTGAAAGAATTTGCAGAAAATAATTAAAAGACTTGTTTCTTTATTCACTGCGGATCACAAGTCATTATTTCATATCAACTCAAATTACATGTTCCAGTTTTATAGGACTCATTCACAAAGCTTTTTAGGATTGCTTAGTTTATGATGTGGATAATGTTTTACAGATAATTTTTACAAACAGGGAATCCATGTGACAGAAAGGTTGCTCACTTCAGGCATTGGGAACTAGAGAGGGAAAGCTATGGAAATCACCTTTGACCTACACAATAGGGATTTTATTTGCCTGAAATCTGAGTACCGTGTTCCTTTTCCCCTTGAAAACCTCAAATTCTAAGGAGAGGTGTAGTACTCACATAAATAAAAGTGTCTACTACTGAGAGGTTGTTTCATGAATTATCACGAAGGAGCTCAGGGCGAGTGCAGTCAATTGATTTTATGCCCCATATCTTGTGAATAATACACATACAGAGATAAATAGAAGAATCTTGACATTGCATCAGAGCTTTGTTTTTTAAGCACCTATGCATCAATACAAATACACAACTGAGAAAAAAGTTATAAATAGATATATTTGATATCTGGAACTGATTGCTAGGAGAAATGGGGAATGGACTTCAGGAAATATAAATTTCCTATAGTGATCAAGCAATGTTAAAAATAAAATCTATTTTAATTTATTCTTAAAAGATCAATATTGTGAAAATAAGGGATGTAAGGAGGACCATGTTCTACCCATTACAAATTTTCTTGCTGGAGTATCATCTATGAGGACGTAGAGACCACAAGGTTATTTAATGGAGTAGCTTGCTCCTAAGCATTTGCAGGCTTTCCCTCAGACTCCACATACTAAAATGATGAAAACTAGATATTTGATAATAACAAATTATGGTAGCCTAATCATTTCAATAGCAGCTGTAGCAAATTTAGGGGCAGGTCATGAACTAGTGCTCTCTCTGCCCAGAAGTATATCCATCTGTATCTAGCGGAGAGAGCTGACACCAAGTTGTGAAGATAAAACTTGGCCTGAACAATTAAAATATGTTCATCTGGCTCTGCAGGTAAGCAAAACCACCTTTTCTTTCAGCCTTCAATGAAAATCTGTGATTGCTGAAATACAGCAAAGCTGGCAAGGAAGGATAAAGGAATAAGGAATTACACATTTAGACAATAAGAACTTTCATTTGCTTTTGTACCTTGGGTGAAAGATGAGTGAATAATTACAATCTAATGATTAATTTCATTAACCATGGTAAGATAAGTATGTTCAAAAGAAAGTGAGACATTTGAGCTGACAGTGCAGTGTACTTACTCATAAGTACACTGGTTTTTCCAAGTGCATTCTTTGTGTTATAAATGAACACATGTAGGGTTTGGCCCAGAGACAGCACAGCTGCTTTCAGGCAGTGAGGAGCTGAAATAATGTACCTGTCAGCCCTTGTGGGTAATGTGGAGAGTCAGTCCAGCACTCCATGAACCCTATTCCTACGACTGGACATAAAGCAAGATCCTCTTCACCAAGTCTCTGATTCAGCCCCAGCTGATCAGTTTGATTTGGGTCTGTTAAGAAGCACTGATGTGTCTGCCCTGTACTCAGAGAATGTGGGTCTAATGCTATTGTCTTCTGAATGCTATACTGAAAAGGGACACAGCACAGTACGAGTCCCAGACTGCTTCATATCTTTGGCAACTGCAAAGTATTTTCCTGATATTTATAATTTTGAAATTCCTTATGTTGTCCTGGGTTGTGCATACAAAGTTCTGTTTTAACACAGTATGCTGATGTGTCCATAGAACTAAACACTAATATATTAAAATAACATTTGTATAAAGCATTGCATCTTCACAGAACTATACTTCATCATCTGGTTAATCTGTACAATATTTTTATGATTAAGTTAGAACTTAGTGTTTATTTATTTCAATAGACTTTCTTTTTCCTGTGAAATAAGATTCTGACATTCTGCCTTCCATTGCCAGTGCAGCTATCTAGGTCTTAACATAACTGAGGAAGTATATTAAACAGAATAGCTCCATTTATACCTTCCCCTGCTCATCCAGTTTTGTAAGACTTGAAGAATTTGACAAAAATCCAATGGAGAAAGCCCCTATTCAAAAGAAAGTAGTTAAACAGAAAATACGAAACCTATGCACACCTATGTTGTTAACGTTAATAATTTGAAGCCTATTTCTGGGTGGTTTCTCTGAGTCTTTTTTGAATTAATCTCAGGATACCGGCTCAGATTTCAGGTGTGCAAATCAAATGACCATCTGTTCAAAATGTGATGCCACAGAAAGGCTTTGATACTGGTCTTCAAACAGAAAAATGTTTATAGCACTTCTGTGCAACATGCTGCTAAACCTGTGCCAAGTAATAATACAAAAGGGGATTGCTCTGCCTCGTGTTTTCTTAATGAGGAACGTAACATGGACTCATTGCATTTCATGCTACGAATTTGAGAGTATTTTATTTCAAGGAGTATAGACTAACTTAATACTGATTGTGTTGGCCCTTACTATGGACAATGCTTTTAGTTTACTTCATTAGGAAGGACAATGTCATATAAGGATGGGTAAAATGATGCAGAACACAGCATTAAATACAGTGAACAATCAATCTTTTACTGTCCAGAAAATCTTTATAACTTGTAAGGCCTGTATAAATTGGACATACGCTATAAGTCCCGTTAACTTTTTTGCTTTCAGGAATTTAGGAAACAGTTCTGTCCAGCTGAACAAACAGTGAACTACCAACTAATTTTAAAGAGCCTAGAATCTAAACTTTATCAATTCATATAAATATCAACTCAGCTGTATTTTCTCTGCCTTGCACCTGTGCTTATGCTACACCTTCTATAGAGGACACTGTATGTTTTCTTTCCAGTATATCTGTTTCTTGCTTGTCTGTCCATATCTATCTCACTTGTATCTGTTTTGTTCTGAGACCTTTTCCTGAGAATATCTTGGTAGAGCTATCATAAGAAGTGTGGTGGGCTTCCTGAATTATGGGGGAAATGGCTTGTGGTGCCGTGGAATTTCTGAAGAAGGTACTTTGAAGGGAACTGGAGAGTTGTCCTGAATTAGTAAGGAGAACAGGAGAAAGAAAAAGATAGAACATGGAATGATGCAGGAAGTTAATGTGGAAAGAAAGTCCCTACTTGTTCTAAAACACCCTTTGTTATATCACTGTATGTTGGGTTTAAGGATTAGCATTGGAGAGGAGAATCAGTATGTTTCTTGTAGGCTTTACAGGACAGTTTTATTAATACATGCATTGGTTTAAAGTTTGTATGTCATCAAATCTTTTGCAGCTGCCCCAGCATACAAATCCCGAAAGAACTCACATGCAGGTTTCTCCGTCTTTATTCCACTATATCCTGATTACTCCTTTGAAGTCTGTAGGTGTTGTGTGTGTACAACTGATAATACGTTTTGGTTCCTACAACTCTAACCACACTGAATGTGGCACTGCTGTATTCTAAACATGGATCACAGTTCTGTCAGACTCAATCTTCCTTCCAAAACTTCTGAGTGACACATGAATTTAAACTATTGTTTGAGGTAGAATTTATGTGCTCATTCTGAACTTAAACTATTTAAATTGGCTTCTAATGACAACACAAAACATGCTTTAAATCAGTGACAAAAATGAGTTTCTCTAGAGAAAGAAAATATTAAATGTTTTGAAGCTTGTGGAGCTGGCCTTATCTTACCTTGTGTCCGACTTGCATTTTAGGGACAAAGGATGTAGTCAATGCCTTGTGCTATCAACTAGATTCAGTACAGTCAGCTTGGATTAGAAGAGTCCTGAGGCTGAGCAACACTTCCACAGACACAGGAATCAGGAGAGTTCATTGGTGGCTGGAAACCAACTGTTTTCCCCAGGTATTCTCTTGAACATAGATGGCTAGAACTGAGGACTGAGCTTCTGGAGTTTTTTTGTGAGTTTGCTCTGAAATTAAAATTGCTTTATGATGCTAATTGGGAGGTTATAGATTCTGTGACCACTAATGTGTCACTATATCATAACTAATTTCTTTAGTATGAGCTATCATACATAGCATCCCAAACTGCTGTAGAAAATAAGGCAACCCCTACTGCCCTTTAACATTATTATTATTGCAGTTACTTGAAACTTCTTAAAGTTTTTGGTATAATCAGTGGTATAAAGAGGTTTCCACAACAGCCCTCCTCTGTTCCCCGTTACTGCGTAATCATAATAAACATACTTAGTAATTTTTTTCAAGCTCTAACAACTATGATTTAGTCTTTTGGTTCAAGAATTCAACATGATTTGCTTTATGTCCCATAATGCAAACAACAATTTGGACCCTACACCTTTGAACTCTTAGTCTTACAAGCATGTGAAAACTTGAGGTCTGGCTGATTTCTGGTTTTCTGTGTTTTAAGGGCTCCTGCATGGCTCTGTCACTCCTTTCTAAACTGTGGAAACTTGATCTTTCACATACCTCCGGTGAAAACTGTCCATTTCCCAGCAGCAACCTCCTTTGAAAGCAGCTGCCATTTTAATTTTTTGGCTGCATAATCAAATCTCACAAATCAGATTTTAAAAAATCCCACTATCCTTCTGTTCAACTAGGAGAAATTAAATGTGAAGCATTACTGTGGAGTTCCACAAATGCCAAAAAAAAGGTTTTGTTTATGAGAAAGGGATTTTCCAACCACCAGTCATTTTAACGAGGCATAGTCCTTTTATGTTTTCTCAGGTGAAACTTCATAAAAGGTGCAATAAAAGGCACGTGTAGATACAGGTGAGACTGAGCACAAGTGAATTTTTGGCCATTAACAATTCCTGGGTCTCAAATATCTTTTTGGGTCATCTTTTTTTCATGCAAGTGTATAGCTTACAAGGGTAATGGAGAATGGACACTGTTAGGCACCAAGAGGAGGTACAGAGTATAAACTAATGAAGTGTGCTTTAGCATTTTCCTTCTAGTGTATGCTCTCCCAAGTGAATGGGTACTTGACCCCATTAACATAAGGCCAATACTCTAAAATTATATGTTACCTAGGCTTGTTATGGTTTGAATTCTTAAGAGTCACAGGATAATCCGCATTTGATTTGACTTGTCATGTGAGATATATAGCATTTATTTGGCACCTTTTATCTCAAGAGAACACGCACTGACCTGGTGTCCAGGATTTCTGATTTCAGTAGTCAGGAGCTCCTGACATTTCTGTGCAGCTGGGGGACCCTTTGATTGACAAAGGCCGATATCTGTACCCATCAGTTATTTATTCACTGCTTCTCTGTTTTTCTGAGAAGTTTCACTCGTGTCTTAATCAGAAAGCTACACGATTACTCATAATACAGAGATAATTCTGGCTGTCTTGCTCTAATTGCTCTCTAATTGGGACACTTCTGAGTGACGTATAGATGTACCCAGGGTTCCTAGTTCCTACTAGGGTTTCCCACGCTGGGCCTGTCTAGTTTATTATATAATCCACAAAGTGTTAAACTCTCGTTTAATGGTTACTCCACAAAAAGGTACCCGAGTGCTGTCCGCCCACAGCCACGCACCTGAGCCACACCTGCTTCGTGCCGACAGGCCTCGCATTCCTCGGAGTCAAAAGTACTGGTAACTGCAGAGGGCTGTCCCAGGGCAGGCAGGTTGCTCGGTCACGGGTGGGTCCATGAGCACTGACCCAGGTTTTCACAGGCCCCATCCCCGTAAAGCATTCCAAAGGGATATTCCCGCCCAGCCTTCCTCCCGCTTCCCAGGGCCGTGACGCTTCCAGCGCCCCTGGCGCGGCCTCGCCCGCCCCCTGGCGGCCGGGGCGGTGCGTGCGGGCGGCGCTCTGGGTCCGGGCCGGCACCGGCAGCGCTGCTCGTGCCCGCGGAACAGCCCGTGAGGAAAGGTGAAGGCCTTCGCCTAGGAGATATTTCTGGGATCCTTCTCCGGCCCGACGCCAGTTAAGTGGAAAATGCATCTTCTGCAGCTTAAACTGGGCTGAGGGGAGAATGGGCAGTAAGGGCTGCCTTGTGTGACCGCTCTGGAAGGAAAATTGTGATAATGTGGAATAACGTGATGAATGTTTTATAATGGTACAAAATTAGTGAGCTTTATTGATTCATCTGTAATGTACATACTGTGTTATAAATCATTAATTTGACTGAGAATTTTAGAGTTTCTTACCTTTTAAGCTCTTGTTCTATTGGCTCCCAAACATTTGCATATTGACGAATGAATAGCATTGATTTTCCTCGAGTAGATTGACTGCTTAGATGCAAAAAATTCTCTTTTTTTTTTCCCTATGGACTATAGCAAAGGAAGAGCTGCAGCTTTGATCTCACTGACTGGCAGCCTCTTCTATTCCTCTAGCATGCACTTCCATTTTTTTTTTTTGAGGCAAAATGAAAGAATTGCCTTTTTTGGCATTCTCCTCTGCTATGCCAATTTCTTAGCAGTATCTATTTAGCAAAAGGGATTTTTAGATACATTTCCTTAGATTTTACATCATACTGTTCAGTATCCCAATGTTAACATTTATTTCTGCTAAAGTGCTAAAGAAGCTGTAGCAGCAATGCAGCCAATTAAAAGGCAGATGTGAAATGTGAAGTAGCACATGTCTGTAAGAAAATTACACTTGGTACAGCCAAAGAAATTTCAACAGAGGGCAGAGAAGATAGCCCGTGGAGAACTGTGAAAGGCACTGGCAGATGCTCACCATCTGAATTAATCATTTGTCCCCACACTGTAGAGCAGAGGAGTTATAAGCCTGAAGGAAGGCAGAGTTTGAGTTTTACTTTGCTATCATACACATGAAACCCCAAACATCCTGCTGAGATTTGTACAGCTTCCTACCCTTCTCCCATGGTACTCAAGGCAAGTTGTAAGCAGAAGCTTATGGTCATGCACTGATTACTTGGGAAGATATTATCTAGGTCCTGAAATATTTTATGGGAAATATTGCATGTAGAAATTTGCAAAACAGGGAGACCTGCTGCTCTGCATTCCTTCTTCTGTTCATCAGTTCTTATATCATACATTAGCATCATTAAAAACCCTGCACTTTGCAGGCCACACTATGACAACAGGAGGGGGTGGGTAATTCTCACTGTACAGTAGACTCACCTTTCTCATGCTCTGTCTTGGGTTCCCTCCAAGTGCTAAATCCTGTTCACTGCCCAGCTCATTTTTCACCTACAATAAACAAGAAGCCTTAGGACACAATTTCATTTGCAATGACAGTACGGACAGCAGGCTGGAGGAAGCCTTCAGGAAAAATCCTGGAAGGTGGACTGCACCTTCCTTTTGCTCACCATGTGTTTATTGCTGGGGGGACACACGAACAGGGATCTGGAGTGCTGCTAAAATACTCCTGAGCTGACTCTTTTAATTAAAAAGCTTGTACTTCCCCCCCATTCCAAACCCAGTCAAGGACATGTCTGGTGAAGCAAGGGCAGGGACCAGTGTATGGACACTGGGGAGCTCGCGAAAGCCGGAGGGGGACGACAACACCTCTCAGGAGGGGAGTGACAACACCTCTCAGGAGGGGAGTGACTTCTTTCCGCCCCCTCCCCGGGCCGCTCCCCCCCGGCTGCGGGGGCGCAGGGCCGGGGGTGCCTCGGCGGCTCCGGTGGCAGCGCGGGCACGGGCGGGAGGGCGGCGGGCGGACCCGCACCGCGGCTGCGGCGGGGCCTGGGCGAGCCCATCGCGCCGCGCGCGGAGGGAGGGAGCGAGCGAGGGAGGGAGGACGGACGGACCGACCGACCGGCGGGCGAGTGGGGGGAGCCGCCGCCAGCCGGGTGCGCGGCGACCTGAGCCCTGTCCAACATGGTCGCCGCTCACACCTCCCATTCCGCGTCCTCCGGCGAGTGGATCGCGTGCCTGGATAAAAGGTATCGGCATCCTCACGGGAGCGGCTGCGGAGGGATGCTGCGTGTATGTGTACATATGTCTGTGTGTGTGTGTGTGTGTGTGTGTGAGTGCGTGTGCGCGCTGACATCCCCTCCCCGCTCCCCATCAGATCCTGCCTTACATAAGGAGCGTGCAGGTGGGAAGCAAAACGCCCAGAGGCAGCCGGGGCGGCGGGGCAGGGTGGGGGCTGGAAATGCACCGGGCAGCGGAGGGGACGGGCAGTGCCCGCTGGGATTGCTGCTCCCCGCCGGGAAAATGCTGCACGTGGTGGAGGAGGGGGCGCTCCGGGGCGGGGAGAGGGCCTGGGGCTGCCGGGCGGGGACCCGCCGTGCCGGCCATGGCAGACCCGCCGCATTCAGCCCCAGTCCAACCTTCGCCCCAGCGGCCCGGCCGCTGCCGCCCGCACCTCCCCTCCCCTCCCCTCGGCGCACCGGCCCCGCCTCGTCTCCCCTGAGCACACCGCCCCCGCCTCGCCTCAGCCACTTTGCAGCCTCCGCCCCGCCGCCTTGCAGGGTGAGCGGGCGAGGAGGGACCTTCGCCTCGGTGGCGACGTCCGCTTCTGCTCGCTGCGGCGTCCTGGGGGCCCGCGGTTGTGCCCCCGGCACCGCGTGGGTGAGAGCCACGGATGGGCTGACGTGTGCTCAGAGGTGGTGTGCGCGCTGCTAAAAATACTGTCAAATTCATTATTTAAAAAAGGAAAATTAAAAATTCTTTGGAGTGCTTTCCCTCGGGTGCTGCAGCCAAAAGTCTCGCAGCGTCGTGTTGTGTGGTGGGTGGTTTGAACGCCCTTTTGCTCTATTCCTACCTTCACGAATTCCTGGGTTAGTTCAGAAGTCGTTTGATTTCCGAGCACTCACTGTGTCTCCTATAGTCTAGGAAAATCATTAACAAAAATTTGGACCATAAATACACTGTACGATTCAAACAAAGCTTGTGTGGTGTATGGCACTTTACTGAGCATCACGAGCCAGCTTTTGACAGGTGGTGCCATTTGGGGCTCTGCTGTGGAGAGAAGCTTTTGTGCACATAAAAGCACAAAATGTCCTTCTATGTGCACATAGAAGGAACCTTCCCCTTCTCGTATTTTCTTCCATTTCCAGGTAACCTCCTAGTCATGTAGGCTGCACCTCTAATTAGGTGTTCCTTAACAGTCCAAGCAACAAACTGTAGCAAGTTAATATCAACTTTTGGTCTAGACCCTACCACAGATATTGATTCCTCCTCTGTAACATGTGTCTTAAGAGAAGACTAACCTCTTAGAGGTTAAGTAATGTGTATAAATGTTGAAAGTACCCTAAATGTACGAGCAGAACTGCTGATGGTAATCTAGCCATATAGAAACCAAATAGAGGCAGAGGGCCTAATTGTCTGTAAGCTGACATTGAGCGGATGTGAAGAAGGAGAGGATGAGCCCCAGTATGTTTAGATAGGTGATTTCTGTTTTTGTAAATGCAATACATCATGAGATCTAAATTGTAAACTAAAATTCAGGGTTCATGTCTAATGAAGTGCACAGCCTTGGGGAGTGGATGATGTATTTAGGAAACATATGTGAGGCATTTAATTTATAAATCTTATCTGCCATTATTTTGTATGGAAATTAATATGCTGACCATTTCTGTAATGGGAATTTCATTAGAGCTATTAAAATAAACCTTTTTCTTCACTTTTTGATATTTGAAGTAACCTAGTAGCACCAATTTGTTGAGTGGAAACAATCAGTTCCAAGAGCTTTTAAGAATTATGCCTTATCCTTTCCCAGAAGGCAGTCTGTATGTAGGACAAACCCATAACATGAGAGATTGTAGGTTTTTTTTCCTGGTCTCTGCTATGCTCTGCTTTATGATCATAGGAAGTACACTTACTCATTTTATTCTGTTTTGCCATCTAAAAACCAGAGTTAAAGCCATGTGGGAAAAGTACTATAGGAATGCAAGTACTATTAGATAAAACATTTTTGATTAATTTACATATTTGTATTTCTAGAGTATTTATTTTCTACAGATAATATATCTGTGTACATCATGTAGCATTTTGTATCCTAAGTGTGAGTTCTGTAAATACAAGATCATTTATTGAGTCAATTCTCTATAGGATACCATGTGTTTTTATTAAATAATAAATATAGTTTTAGTATGTTTTCATTAATGAGTATATTTTCAGCAGGCAGACAGTTCTAAAACTAGTATGCTTTAGAATTTTAGGTGAGCCTCAGCAAAGACAATTAAAATGACCTGTAATATGGATTATCCAATATAATTATTTGAAAAACAGAATGGAATTCTAAATGGAAATAGCAAAACACATCATGTACAGAAATTACATGTTTGTATATGTTCTTCATGTGGTTCCCCAAGTCATGTGTCAGACTGGAACGACTGGAACGACTAAGATCTAGAATAAGAGCACGATAAAAATGAAGAAACGCCAAAATATTTTGGGAAAAATGTTATTACTGTGTAGGGTGCTGTGGGCTGGGAATACCAGTGCTTTGGCCATGCATCTTTTAAGTGTGGTTACTAGCCACAAAAGTCAAAGATCAGCACTTAAAAATCAAATACACAGGACAGTATTTACAGATGAAGTTAAAAGCACAAAGGTAAGGAACAGCAGGAACAGAAAATTCAGAACACTGTTCTCCATCAAGAATATTTTATTTTTGCAGGAGAGAGAGAGGATCAGGGTGAGCAGCTGTACATCCTGGTTATACCTGGAGGTGTAAATAATTTTTCTGTTGAGGAAACCAGTGCTTTTATATTTGATGTAAAAAATTGCCTTACCCCTCATTTCTTAGGGAGCAGAAGCATCCCTACCATCTTAGCACTTTTCTGTATATCTGATCTGCACATAATTAAAAAAAATTGCTTATTTATGCAAGTGTGTATTGTTAGCTTAGGAAGAATGTCTTCTCTATTCTCATGGTTTCTTTAACACCAAAAACCATCTAACTGGACTGAATGGTAGACAAAGTGTTTTTTACATAACTCTTATTTCTCTAAACCTGATCATATTTATGAATTCAGTTAATTGTTTTAATTGGATTCAGATGCAAACTTTTTAATGACGTACAGCATTCACAACAGCCAGAGATCCCAGGATTTCATACCTGCCTATAGCATCTTGTGTTTTTCTCTGAATTAAATGTAACCCTAAGTGCCTTAGCAGACTGGAGGAGCAGATCACACAGCAAAGCATGTAACTTCTCTTGCCTGTCGTGCTAAGTGTGTTGTGATCTTTGCCCAGTAATTTATAAATTATTTAAATAGGAATGGGCTTTTTGAGGACATATTGTGCATCCTAAGCTTTTATATCCTTGTTATTCTTGTAGACTTGCATCATTTATGTCTAACCAAACAGAAATAATGTATACTGTTTAGTATCTCAAATCTGTACTTTAAGCCAAGCTCCCATAGATTTGAATATAAGTTCAGACTAAAGCTATGTAACACCAACATATTTGAATCAGGTTTTGTTTTTTTGGTTCATTGTAACATGTATTTGAGATGCAAGTTACTTGTGTTTGCTTAGTAGTCAAAAAGGGACCCCTGGTGAGGATACAGGGCTATAGGCTATAGTATATAAGCTAGAATGAAGAACTGATATTCTGAAAGAATTGTTGTAAAATAAGTACAGAAAATGCTTGTCATCCTCTATAACCTATAAATATGTCAAAGATAATGGGATATAGATTTATAATCAGGCAATATTATGAGTATTTTAGAGTTACTTTACGATGTTCTTTTATTTTATAATATATTCTTATACGATTGGTAAAACATACACTGACTTCTATATAAATTTCTCCCTTGCTTTTTATTTGTGACAAATCCATAGAACTGTCTCCATTTTCATGTAGGTTGGCTTGGAACAAAGTCATGGGCATACACTACAGTTCCTGTTGGTCTGTGTGCTTGGTGTTTTCTCTCTGTAGAACGTGACTAAGCTGATATACGCTTGGATCAAGTCCGTGTGGGGATGTATCAGCAGAAGGTGCTGCAGTGGATATGTAATCTTGGAGATAGAGCCATATAGAATTAGCCCAAGTGCTTTCTAGCACTCATCTGAAGGTGCAATCTTCTGAGAGTGATGAATAATAACAAATTTATCTTTCCACATCATGCAGTTAATTTTCTAGTCCAGTGCAAAGGTGCAGTCTTTGATGAATAATAAAAAAGCCCTTTTCCTTTCCATATCTCCTTAGAGAAACCAAAATAATTGTTAATACAGCATGCTGCATGCTAGTATGTCTGTGCATTTTATGGAATATATGAATTCAGATTAACTCACAGTGAGATCAGGATTTTGAATTTTAAACAAATTCAAGCTGTTGTATTCTCTGCTCTCAGCCTTAGACATTTCCAGTATCAGCTTCCATTTGTTCCATGTGATTGCAGTAAGTTATGCACTTGTACTATGCACAGGTATTAAGAGGAAGAAAAAGTGATTACCGTAGCATTCATGTGCATAAACGTTGTCATGGCCCACCAGAGCAAGCC